TCACTTGTGCCAGGAAAAACAAGGACGTCTGTGCCATCACAGTTTCCGGACCTGAATGTGTGCAAATCCATTGCTTTTGCGATTTCCGCTCGATTTACGTTTTGTTTAGGTTTAGTTTGAACGAATTAGATGATAGATATCTCAGAATCCCAATAAGTACTGAACGCCGTTTTCCCAATGATTGTGCTGCTTTTTAGAACCATTTTTACTTAACCTTAGGAGACTCTACAGAGGCTGATCTGGACAGGGCTAAGTTTACAACTTCGCGCACAATTTGAACTTTGGAAAACTTATTGGCAAATAAATATCATGTTTATTAGTGTACTTGAGGAAACAGTAGCAAAAACCCGTTAAAACCGTCCCAAAACCTCGCTTTGAATTTTGTTGGAATGTAAAGAGGCACATAGTGTCCATTATAACTCAACTGAGTTGCCGAAACATTGATTTACGACCGACCATATGAGCTGTTGTTTACGGATGTCAAAAATGTTGTGAAATAAAGTTCTGGAACCTTCCGCTTTCCGGAAGAAAACCCAGAGGGGTAAGGCGCAATTGATTGACACCTCAAACTGACAATGGTGATTTTAGTGCCTCTTCTAACTTATAGGTTTAATCACAAATATTCCTAATGGTCTGCGATTCGATAACAAGTGAGTAAACCTTCAGCATTCTCTGACTGAAGCATCTTTGTTTTACGTTAGTGAAAGATCGAAATTTAGCCCAAAGACCAACACATTTTTGCATTTGCTATTCAATTTAGGCAGCAGGCCATATTGATAACTAGCATGCAATAATGTTAGAACTACTGAATAACTCACGGCAATCCTAAGTCTTCTCCGTTACCAGAAAAGAAGTAAATTTAATGTTAGGCCAAAATGGTCATGTGCATTCTGCTTTTGCGCTTATTCCCACATCTACAGCATGAACAATAAAATTCTAACACTACTAATTTCTCTATGAATTTAATGACTCTGCTTTTACTTTTTAACTATTATTTATTCCCACCAAAAGAGTCATTATGAATGCAGCATGTTAGCGATCCCGTTCTACACCCACCATGACTTATATCCCAATCGATCTAGACCAAAAAAATTGTTGTTGACAAGTAAGCATTAA